GAGAGAGGGAGAGAGAGAGAGAGAGAGAGAGAGAGAGAAGAACGATGGATATGTGACAGGAAAGAAGGAGCCACCATACCAGAGCAGCTACCAACCACCCACATGCCACATTTTGCAATAATGGCTCACACCTGTTGGTGTAGAAGAATGATGGTAAAAATGTTTTAAGTCCCTTTCAACGCACCCTTGGCCGTTTAGGAGTCTGAGGAGGTTTGAATGGGCTTGGGGAGGGGGGGTGGTGGTGCAAAAATTACTCGTGCACTCGTGAAACAAAAAGGTCATGCGTAGACAGTGATTACTGTGGGTGATTGGCGGGTGCTATGGTATCTTTTGCTCCTTCTTTCCCATCAAACATCTATCGTACTTAGCTCTAATTCTTTTTTTTTCTAGTTATTCTGGTAGCATCTCTAATTCTTGGCACATATATGACCTAATTGTGTTGAAAGTGCCATGAATCTCTTACTAAAATAAATAAAACAAAGAAAAAGACGAATGATAAATCTTTACACCGGCATCAACACATTATAGGCCATTTAGGAGGTTGATTTATATTGGGGGGAGGGGGGGGGGAAGCAGAAATTGCTCTTGCACTCATAAAACAAAAGGATCATGCCTCGTAGCCAGCCAGTGTAGTGGGTGGGGCGAGTGACGATTTCCCAAAGTCGCCGAGGGCAAAGACGTAGGTGGGGCGAGCCATGTGGGGGTGAAGTGACAAGTGGGGACTTATTTGTGTCCCTCCCAGCACTGATGACGTCTTTGTCATCGCACCGTGCTTGACACGGCCACGCCGACGCCAGTCAGGGAGATAAAACGGTCTATCTGCAATAGATCTACACTGTTTGTACAGTAGTAGACGGCTGGTTTGGCACCAGTCTTTTTTTTTTTGTTCTTTTTTATTTTTGAGTAGTAGTAACAGGAAGGAACACACACGCGCGCACGCGCGCACACGCACACACGCTCACATGCACACATACACGCTTACACACCTACACACACATACACACCTACACACACATACACACAAACACACACACACACCTACAAACAAACAAATGCATGTTCCCTTTCAGCCACAAATTCTCTCTCTCTCTCTCTCTCTCTCTCTCTCTCTCTCTCTCTCTCTCTCTCTCTCTCTCTCAAACACACACAGTCGAAGCAGACTTTGTGCCGTTGAGGCTAGAGAG